TATATATATATAATAGTTAATGCCATGCGCTACTCACTCATGCAGCACACCAATGCGCAAAGCTAAATAGAATAGATTCTGCAGCCCCTGACACATTTAAAGTCCGTCTGCAAGGAGATTTGCCCAAGATGTGGTCACTTAAAATTAACCGTAAAAATCAGATTTAGAAGAATTGTGTGAAATCAAAGTAACTTAAACGTGTGTTTGCGCGTGTATTAAGGTGAATCATCGTTGGTGGACAGGACATGTATTGCATCTCAAATGAGCTGAGAATGTTCTTTTCACAAGAACAAAGTGTCTCGACGCGGAGGAATCAGGCGCTCGTCAATTTTTTTGACCTATGGGGTTTGATATCGTCTTAAAGCCTGTTCATTTGCCTTGATGAGAACAATACCCATTTATATTGGATGCAAGTCGAGACATTTGCGATTGAATGAGGTGGGGTCACCTAATTTCAGAGGTAAAATTAGTGAGAAAAAGGTCGCCAAAGTTTAATTATTTCCTTAGCTTGAGAGCTCGTGGAAACTGAAAATTGCGTCTTTCGTGCACTTAATCAACGATTTTCAGTACAATCCCCAAGGAAATGCATTTTTAATGGGCATAAAAGGCGTTGATCCGAAAAACAAAAATTCGGTAAATATCCCCAAACCTGCGGGGAAATGCCAGTTTCTTCACTTTCATTATAATTCTGTTCGAGTGCCTGATTTCACCACACTGCCTCATAAATTATGTTTCAGTACATGTACGATCGTTTTAAACTTAAAAGCAGCGGTCACAAATACCACGCAAAACTTGGATTTTACATCGAATGTGCTCATTAATATTTTGCTTAGGAGCCATTGGTTTCATGTAGTGCACGAGTCCTTTTGGCATGTGTGGTATTACATCTACCAATTCATCCCAAGTGTCACAGAAAGTTGCAACAAAAAAAAGCGTCTGAATTGTGCGCAAAGTCGCATTTCTTCATCTACAGTTTCACGGGGCTCTATATATCTATAGAATTCGTGCTGGGGCTATTTACCAGTGATAACACTATCGTTAGTATGATTTTTGGTTTTCCAAGAACTGTCATGAGGCGTTGATCCATAGAGAAGGTGCTTTGTCATGCATAACAATTCCTATTTGAATGACAATGTGACGAAATAAGGGTAAGACGTGACGTTCCAGCACTTGCGCGATGTAATTCTCCGCACGAGGCCTTTCGTTGATTCTCACTAGTGGGTTTTTGTTCTCTCCTGCCAGACCATCCCAATTCCATACCATGACAGTTTCATGGCCTCTGTTCCTCACAGATTTACACACACTACACACACACAGTGTGTGTGTGTGTGTGTGTGTGTGTGTGTGTGTGTGTGTGTGTGAGAGAGAGAGAGAGAGTGTGTGTGTGAGAGTGTGTGTGTGTGTGTGTGTGTGAGTGTGTGTGAGAGTGTGTGTGTGTGTGTGTGTGTGTGTGTGTGTGTGTGTGTGTGTGTGTGTGGGAGTGTGTGTGGGAGTGTGTTGTTTTCGGAAATTCCAAAGTTCTGTGCCAAGGGCAGTGTAGCCAACAATAGTATCCTAGTGGTAAAAAGTGATAGATTCCTTATTGCTCTTGAATATTGTGTCTTTTTCTCTCACCACTATGTTAATGTTCACGCAGCTTTTCTTGGCTATTTACCTTGTTGTACAGCAACAGCGACTCGTTAACTTTAAACACGTTTCAAAGTGTGACAGCTTTTTAGTTTGATTGTTTTGTTGTTTGTTTGTTTGTTTGTTGGTTGGTTGGTTTGTTTGTTTGAGTAAAAAAAGCCCATCGCCACTAAAGACCTAATGGGCATTTAGTTTTGAGATTAAGTAAGACGATTAGACAGAGGCAAGAGGAGAAAAGAAAAGAAGTAGGACCTACTATTGGTGTCCTCCTGTGTTTGTATGTGTCATTATTTCCCAGCAATAGTCTTTTTCTATGTCAAGTACTTTGAGAGAGCATTTCGTCACCAACAAACTCATAGATTGATCTGTAGTGCAATCCTATCCCATTCGCTTCACATACCCCTGCAATGTCAATCTTTTCTTAGCGGGATCCCAATCTCTCGTCCCAAGACATTATGCATGTCATTGTAAATGATTTTTTTTCCATCCAAAAGCTCCCAATGGCAGAGTTTAGACCAGTGCCCACATGTCAACCGTTTAATTTTATAACCAGCTCCCACTTTTGCCACCTTTAAGAAGTTTAAATGTTTGTAGTGCCCACAACATGTATTTCCAAGCGGAGCATTAAATAATACCTTTCAGTATCTTGGTGATCCCCTGCGCCCACCAACATGACTAAACCGCCCACTAGTGGGCGATATCAGCCAAGTTCCCAAACAGAGGTCTAACTATTATACCAAATACACTGGACATGTCTGACCGCAGACAAGGGTAGTCAGTAGATTATGTAAGTCAAAGGAAACATCCTGTTCGCCTTGACTTTTCACTTTTATGTTCTTCTTCTTTTTTTTTAACGTTACCATATATCCTCCTTTGATAATGTTGCCATAGCGGATTCTCCCTTTTCATTATTTTTTTTCAATGTGCTAAATCAGTCAGTGGTGGGGCTAAGAGATGAGGGTAGGCTGAGCTCAAAGGTAAGATTTCCTTGGTTCAGAGGACATTCTAGATATGTGTTAGTATGTTTTATGCACACATTCACACGCAAACGTACACATACAGCAGTAACTGGATTAGGCCATGTTGTCGCAGAAAGCAAGACATTCCTAACGAGGGGCCATGAGCTTGTTTTTTGTCGCTGGGTCTCCAGAAAAAGTGTGTCATGAACTTTTTCTCTATAATCATTGTCAGAGCTTGCAGAGATCAAGCCCCCTTACGTTTGTTTCTTTTACCTTTTTCCAGAAGAGTTTCATTAAGAAAGGACCGTGGGAATGGCTGTTAGATTACTAACGTTGTAAGTTGTGAAAACAGTGACTGGATAAACGCGAAAGTGCGTGTGTTCATTGCGTGAAACTAGAGGCGGAAGATTCTGAAACAGATCTAACAGTTTCGACTGATTGTTTCCTTTAGTAAGAAACATTCATTTACGCAGGGAAAGGGTTTGGGGTGGGAGTGGGCGGGGCTCAAGCCCTTTAGCCCTTCACTACGCCCTGCCAGTGAAATCAGAGCTTATCAACCTGGGTGGTAACGTCCACGAGTGGACGAGTGGTGGTAATGTTTGTTGGTGGAGAGTGGGAATCATTCGGGTAAGGCCGGACGTTTTTAATGCCCCTTTTGCAAATACATGAAGATGGGCGGTACGAGAATACGAGCAAAAGTGGGCACTAGTTATCAAAAGGTTGTCGAGTACCATGCTGAACAAAACGGCTTTGCTAATACATGTAGTTCCTAAGGACTTCCGCAACTTTCTTTATTGCCCTACCAAGGTATGGATACCTTGCAGGCTTTGGTGCTGAGAGGAGCTGAGCACTTATGGACCTGTCCTGTGTGCAATGACGTTGTTGCTCAGGACAGATCAAGCAGGAATGCCCAACCAAATACTAAACCCTATCTTTTATACTGCCCACTGAAAAGTCCCTTCTTTATTACGTAAGTGTGGGTGGTTGCTCGTTACGGAAGTCCTTCTTGTAGTTATATTGGTATCATGCTGGAGTACACTGCGTATGGCTGTGGTTCGAATTTCAAAGTGAAGACTCTAGAGTGTGATGAGCGTTCGGTTTCGAACACTTGCTAGATAAAATAAATACATAAATTACGTTTTTATTGATCCCAGAAGGGCAAATTGGTTTACAATGGCAAACATACATACATATAAACATACCCACACACTCACACACACACACACACACACATACACACACACACACATACATACATACATACATACATACATACATACATACATACGTACATACATACATTATATATAAATACATACATTCATCAATTAAATACATGCACAAATACGTAGGCTACATAAACACACAATATTACACAAGCACAGAACAATATACAACCATGCCATTGCCGGTCGCCACTGTGCGGCGCCCTGTTTTTTTAGCTGGGTTGCCGTGTCTTGCTCAAGGACACACCCCAGTGGCCACCCATCTAAACCCCATGTCACCGACACTTGCTTGACATTACTTGAGTCTAAACTCACTACTCACTTAGCCACTGGAGCCCCGGATGCTATCGGAGGCGCACGTCGAAGTCATAGAACCTGTCCAGCAGGTGGACAAACTGTTTTGAACGGGGTGTGAAGTCCAATACCATACATGTACCTATATGCCATAAAATACAGAACAAAATGTGGCGTTTCTTTTGATGTCTCCCGTTGTCTCCACAGAGGACCAGCTGAATCCAAAGGTGTCGCTCCTGTGACCTTGACCGAGCCGAACAGAACGAGTCTGTGCAAGGTCAAGAAATGTACCAGTCAGGAAGTGCAGGATATAGTAGACCGACTTAGCTCCTTTGACCCTACAAAATGGCCTCCGGGTTCAAGGTCAGAGGCGAGGTCAATGTAATTGATAATTTTACTTATTAGTATGTTTATTCGCATAGACTTATAGTTTGATATCCTAGATCGTCTCTCTGGTGTATTTCCGGTTTGGGACGTGCCATTATAATCAAATGAAGGGCAAAAAGAAAAAAAAAGAGGGGGGGGGGGATATACCGTTCACACTCGACTGGTGGTGTAATGGTACTGAATAGCAACAGTGTAAAATATGGATTACTTCCCCAAAAACAGAACCTTTTGCCCTTCCATTGACAGTAATAGCACGGTTCATGAGGCAAGCGCTTCGAATCGAATTCTTTATAGAGAGCTGAGAGCGGGAAATTCTAGTGTGCGACCTATGAGTACATGTCTATGGCTCCTTTCCAGGCTGTCGGTTTTGTAATTGCACCTTCGAGGGTTTAGATTATGCTTTTTGCTCTGCTAAAACATGCTACGCTGTATTTTTCCCCCCACATTTCGTTTTTTCTTGGTTTCACGTCTATTCAATGTGTGACTTCTACTTCTGATATTATTCTTTTTTTTTTAGTATTCAAAGGAAAGTTGTCCAAGATTATTTTTCTTTGCAATCAAAGTGATGTTCTGTTTCGACCCTGTATGTTGGGGGAGGGGATGAGTTGGTATTCGTTTCCCAATAAAACACACACACACACACACACACACACACACACACACACACACACACACACACACACACACTCACGCCATACCCCCACCCACACACACACACCCACACACACACACACACACACACACACACACACACACACACACACACACACACTCACGCCATACCCCCCCCCCCACACACACACACACACACACACACGCACGCACACACTCACGCCATACCCCCACACACACACACACACACACACACACACACACACACACACACACACACACACGCACGCACACTCACGCCATACCCCCACCCACCCACACACACACACACACACACACACACACGCACACACTCACGCCATACCCCCACCCACCTTTCCCCTCCTTTCTTTGAAGTTTTACCTTGGTTGTGGTTTTTCTTTTATTTATTTTTTTTTTTTTTTTAATTTTTATACATGTATATATGCAAGCAATATGTGACCTCCGTTTTTATTTATTTTGTATATTTGCTTGGTTGAGTTGCTTTTCGATATTTTTCGTAAATTCGAGGTTTCTGTATTGTATGTATACAACGTATTATACAATACCCATCTGAGAAGTGCGTTTCACATAAAGGAACTATTTTAAGACCAATACTTTCGTTTCATTTGGTTTTCAGATACGTTTCTTTAAGCTCGCACAACTGAGAATGAAAAAGATGATTGTCGAGGAATAAAAATAAAACGTACTATATACCGTATGAATTATGGGTACATCATTATCTGTTTTAATTTTGGCTAATTTTCTTTTAAACAAAACAAAAACATTCTTATGCAACTTTTGAAGACTGGTTCGAAATTACGTGAAGTCTCAACTACAGAGTACTGAGCCACTGAAGTGGCAAAGAGATCTCTCTCTCTCTCTCTCTCTCTCTCTCTCTCTCTCTCTCTCTCTCTCTCTCTCTCTCTCTCCATTTTTCTTGGGGTCTTGGGGGAGAGGGGAGATTTTTACCTGCTAGTTTCTTATCGAGCAATTTATCAGCTCTGGTCACAAGGAATTCTCTTGACACACGGCGCTTGAGAAGACTTGTGGTGATAACAACAGTATTTCGGTTGTGTGACTTTGTTCGGTCACATTCAAAGTCACGGCAGGGAGAAAAATACACCAACAATGTTTTCGACTTTTCGATAACTCATTCTTGGTGATGACTGGTTGTGCGCGTTGTCTGCATAATCCTCTGTCGCAGGAATCGAACTCGCTTCTTGTGCGTGCAAGGTGAAATAACAAACTATTGCACCGTACATTAACTCTGGTGTTATGATTGGTCTGCGGTCTATTACTGATTTCTCTTCTGAAGACAAGCACATTAATTTGGGCCATGACCAATCACCCGTGTGTCCACCAAACCAGAAACCAACCGACCATAAGTCATCCGTCTCTCGGAAAATCGGTTGTTGAAATGGAACACAGCTTTTTACCGTAACAATCATTGACAATTCCATATTGATGTGTCCACTAAAACGATCCGACTACTTCTGGAGAAAAGAAAATTGAGTGGGTGGGAATGCCGTTTACAGCATTTTAGTCTGTCTTGTGATGACTCACAAGCCATTGTCCATAGCTTTAAAAAATCTATTTCTACATCAGAATAAGAAACGCCTGTGCAGAAACTACTATTTGCAATGCATATTGACAAAAGTAAAGTATACTTTACTCGTGGTGTACCTTAAAGAAACAGAAAAGTGTGTAGTACATCGGCTAAAATGCGGACTGTGCCTGTCTAGCGGTGGCTTTAAAAAAGCCTTTGTTTACTCTGCGTGGGTAGTTGCATTTCCCTTTGATGTTCTTGCCTTCATGTTATGAACCTAGGACAAGGCCCATGCTTTGCTTCTTTTTCTTTTCGTAAATAGAACTGTTTAGCCAATTATGACACCTTTCACTTTGCTATCTTTCGTCTTTCTCTTTTTATTGTTGATTAATTTCATCAATAAAACGTTTCGATTGAAACTGTGTTCCGTTTTCATTCTTAATAATGTTATTCCCAAACATAGAAATGCACGGGAAAGAAGCCAGTGTGTTCACTTGAGCTTAGTGCGATGCGAGCGTATCTTCGGCCTAGAACTTTGTACATGTACGAGGTATTGAGGAATAGAAGTCCCAATTGATATCATGACGTCGACTGTGTTTCCACAGACTCGTAGATTGGCTGTCGTCACTTAAAATAATAATATATATAACACATCAAATAAATATAATTTCACATCTGAAAGAGTATTTTTATTTACATTTTTACGTCCCTTCTTAACTTGAAATGTTATGAGGGAGCCACCATGGCAACAGATATGTTTGCTTTTGGGATAATAATAGATAGCATTTGTATAGCGCAAATCCCCGCTCAACAGCAGGCTCTATGCGCTTTACACTATATTATTACCCCAGCAGATCATAGAACACTCCGAAACATTCTCAGCTTCCCGGGAAGCATACAGTGCAAGCAGCTGATTAAGCGCTCAAACACTAACATACTGACAAGATCTTTCGCTGTCTATAGCCGGGTACCCATTCCCACCTTGGTGAAGTGAGGAAAATTCGTGTAAAGTGCCTTTCCCAAGGACACAACGTTGGGTCCCTGACGGGATTCGAACCCACGACCTTACGGTTGCGAGTCCGAGAGCCTAACCACTAGGCCACCGAATTGTAAGGTGCCAGAGACATGTCAACGGACTGATGTTGAAGTCCATCAGAACCATATTATTTTTCAGGGTGTCTTTGTAACGCTCTGATCTCGTACTTAAATGACTACCAAACCCCTTTTCAACAGAATTGAGGGTGCTCCGTGGGTCTGTAGGTACTTCTGTCAAGGCCAGGAAACAGCGCGTTGTTGTCACTTTGTCACTCTGATACTTGCAGACGTGGAAGGTTATATACTGAAACTTGTCTAAGATGCAGCAAGACGTTCAAGGCCTTTGTGTCGATTCATGTGTCGTAAGAATCGCATAAAATTTATTATTGACTTGTTGTTGTTTTTTTTGGTAAGTGTTTTATTGCGCTCGCAACTGCATACGGTCATATGAGCGCCCTGGATACTCCAAACATTTTCAGTTGGTTGGAAATTTTGGACTTTGACAGAGTGGCGGCCGAAGCCTACTCTTATCGATTTTGGACCACCAAGGGAATCTTTAACGTGCGCAACTTGCACACGGGACCTCCGAGATTTTTCGCCCTTTTCCGAGAAGGCTAGGTGTAGATCTTTCCTACCATAAATCAGACATGTGGCTGATAGACAACAATAAGAATTTAAGGAGTAAAGGAGAAGCAATAGAAAGGCTGCCCAAAGAGCCAGGAGCCCACAGGAGGGGGCAAAGGAGGTGGGGGGGGGGAGCAGAAAGTGGAGACCAACGCAGACGATAGAACATTGTCAGAGGGCAGGAAAGGATGTGAAAGGAAAACATTTTAGAGAAGAAAACTTTTCGTAGTCATTGAATGAGAGGTGAACACCTTAACCTCTAGGCCACCAGAGCCCCCATTATCTGTTAAGTAAAGGAGAACCGTGCTAACCAAGAGCTCATTGACCTGCTTGGTAATGAGGAGTCCAATGAAACAATGGACATCATCACTCACCCACACGATAAAGAAGAAGAAGAAGAAAAAACCCATGGTAGATGGTGGCTATATACATGTATACATAATATGGACATTTAATGCGCCAGATTGACTTTACTCAACGAGAACGTGCTTACATGCATTTGTGTATTTGTCTACGTAAATTTCTTCGTGTTTGTTTGAATGTTTTTGTGTTCGTGTGTGTGTGTGTTTGTGCGTGTGTGTGTGTGTGTGTGTGTGTGTGTTTGTTTGTTTGTGTGTGTGTGCTCTTGTGTGTTAGTGTGTATGTGTACGCATGTGTGTAGCCTTCATTGGAAAATTAGTATAACAAAATCAGTCTTCAACTGTCCTATCACTTGACTTCTTACTACATCTATTTTCTCCTTTCAAATACACCAAAGTTGTTATGAAAAAGAAAAAAAGGAGTTTTAAACATGTTACTGTAGTTACCGTTTATCATTGTGTTTATAGGAGGCAACATATTCTTTTTTCTTTCTTACTTTTTTTTGTTGTCCATCCCCTGCAGGAGGTAGCCCCCCGATGACGACCTCCACTCTGTTCTATCAGTCTGCCGCTTTCCGTGTCCAGGTTGTATCCGTCTGCTCTCTGGTGTTATCTTGCCACCTTCTCTCTGGTCTTCCTCTTGATCTTTTTCCTGATAATTCTTGGTATCCATTCAATGCTTCTTTTTGTCTATCATCTGTTATCATTTACTCTGCCGATGGACCAGTCCATTTCCATTTTTGTTTTCGTCGAATTGTAAATTTAGGGATATCTACCACTCCACTTTTCCCTCGCATTTTTGTGGGGTTTAACCCCCCCCCCCCCCCCCCAAGAAAAACAGCAGCAAACAAGAGCAACAAAACAACAACCTTGTCTGTATGGTAGGCCTTTACCCAGAAAATCCCTTTCCATTGCCCTGTGTGCTGTCTTTAATTTCTTTACGATATTTCTGGTAGTTGGCCACGTTTGACGGCTTTTGGCCCCCAGTACAGGGAGGCTAGCCTGTGCCTTGTGCATGTAGCATAAGGGGAGGGGGGGGGGGCATTGTTTAGAGAAGGGCACAAACAGCTTATATCTATCTGGGACAAATCACTGATAGAAAGCTGTTCTTTCTGATGATACAAGTATCCTTTAGTACAGAAAAAAAATCAAAACTTGAAAGGCGCCCTGTGTCTTATCCATGAAATACAATGAGGAGAGACTTTGCTTGTTACTGAAGCAATGGATGAGATCACAGACCAAAATCTGTGTGACTTGCGCAGGACAGGACTGATGCAGTTTTCTCTCTCTCTCTTTCTCTCTCTCTCTCTCTCTCTCCCTCCCTCCCTCTCTCTCTCTCTCTTCTGGTGCTGTGGCATCATAAACAGTCTGTGATACCGACAGCACGCAGGAACTCAACACTTACTAAACCAATAAAAGTACACGCTTTTAGTGATACATGTATAATTCTTTAACTTTGGCTTTCGGGAAATAAAACTGACATGAAAAAAACTGGGGTGCCTTATCCAATGAATACACAATTTACACCATCATTTTGACAGTCAAGTGTACCTGCATTTTATCCGCTGAATCATCCAGTGTGTGATGATTAACAATAGATTTGTTTTGTTCAGTATTTTTTCATCTCAGGCTGACAGTTTAGGTTCTTCATACCAGCTTGAACGATTATATATATATATATGTGTGTGTGTTTGTGTGTCACGACGCAGTAGTGGAACCGGGCGCTCATCAGTTTTTGGGCATGAGGAGCTATTGCCTTCACCTGAAAACTGATTTATTTGCTTTGCTTCGTATGAAATAAATATCCATCTACCTAGAATAGAACTCAAGATCTTTGCAACTGAAGGAAGTGAGGTTGGTGAAATTAGCGAGAAAATGGCCACCAATGTTTGGTAACTCCAATAGTAAAAGAGTCCTTAAAAACAGAAAAACGACATATTTTGTGCCTTTAATCAATGTGTTTCAGTAAAATTCACATGGAAATGTGTTTTTATATAGACGTAAAAGAGATTGAGCCAAAAAAAAATTTCAATAAAAACGTTCAAACTCACGGAAAAATGCCTGCTTCTCCGATTTCTGTACTTTGACGAGCGCCTGATTTAGACACGATGACTCACATATGTGGATATTTCTCTATCTAAAACAGTCGAAGTAAAAGGGTGAAAATTCAAATTTAAAGCAAATAAGTCCAAAAAATACTTTTGTGTTGTAAAACTTTGTATTTCATGTCTCAAGGCCAAAATGAACAACACATTTTGAGGACAATGGCATACACCTCATAATTTATTATTTTTTTTGCAAAAAATAATCACATACTAAAATGTTTCAAAGTAGCAATATTTTGTACAGAATAAAAAGTTATATATACTTTTGTGTATCAAACTGGAAAACACATTACATCTCAACTCTTCTTTCTGTAAAGGAGATAGACTCAATATCACAAAACACTTTTTCTAAATAGAGGTCACCTCAGTCACCTTGCATTAAATGAAAAATTAGATAAGGGTTCATGAATCCAGTATCATCATTTCTCCTAAACCAATATCATAATTTTTCTACATCTTATTTAGGAGTAGGACACAACCTGCAGATGTTTCTTCCCTTTTCCTTCCTTTCCAATAGGTTTAAAGAAGTCACCAAGAAGCATAAGTTTGATGTATCTTTCCAACAACCAAGCAGTTATCATAATTGTCTAATGATCTGAAACCAGGCAAGTTTTTGTCTTTCCACCATTTCAGGATTGTATCTTCACTGTCTTCCCGTCTTCGATGTGACATTTTCAGGAGTTTTTACCGTACCAGTATTTCTTTCAATACAAAATTTTTCCAGGCTTATTCATATTGCATCTAAAAAGAATGCTGTGTATATTCATGAGTTTTATTGCTATTCATACTGATGTGAAGCTTATTATATTAACAGCAGACTTGTATCATAAAAAACTTTAAAGATATATTCTGAAGCAACTGAGCAAATTTATCTATAAACAGCTTAACCAATGTCAGCAGGAACATATTTGAGCTTCAATCAAAATTGACAACAAAGTCTTATAAGTTCTTTAAATGTATGACAGTTATTTGCTAAAGGCAAGCCAAATATTTTGACTTCCTTTGGCTTAATATTCCTCAATTCAACAGAAGATGCACATGAACAAGTGTTATACACGCCAAGCATATTCACTGACATCTACCCTTCCATCACAAAATCACAAGCAGAAGGTCATTGTATACATACATATCGACGGTGTCCCACTCTAACCACATCTCCACCAAATTAGGTCAAATACTATTTTTAAAATCTCAAAGTAGAGTACAAAAGTAGACCCACTATGTAACCCACATAAAAAAGTTAAGAGAATACTGACGGATGTGGGGGGAGGGAGGGAGTTGCGTGAAATTGTCAGATGATCTAACCATACATGACACACATAGTAAGAAAGAGATTTTGCTTCTCCCCACTTTTCTCAAAATCAGCATTCACAAACATATATGTGGTTAGAGAAGGACACCAACAACTTGTAAGACTCATGTATCCAGATCCACAGAAAGATATGAGGAAGATTCTGAGGCAGTTAAATCCCCAACGGTAGAGATGGTGCAGAGATGGGTTTTTTCTATTAAAGATTCATTTCTGACTCTAATTTGTGGCCCTTGATATCTGTGAGCCACAATCGGGTGACAAGTGTGATGATCTTTGCAACTATTGAGGGTTGAGCTCCAGTTGTAGAACTCGTGTTGGTGGAATCTCCAGCTCCGCATTCACCTGAGGATGTGGATGGGAATAAATAGACAGGGGGGGGGTACAGAAAAATGACAAAACAAAGTGCGGAAATGAGCAAAATGACTTAATGTGACAGAGAAACATAGAGGGAAATTCATGCATTGAGAAAACAGAAACTGGACACAACTGGAGAAAAATGCACAGGAAAGTTGACTTTGTAGAGGAACTGTAGACACCCTAAGCTACTTCTTATCTTGTAGGGAGTTGAGAGAGAGAGAGAGAGAGAGAGAGAGAGAGAGAGAGAGAGAGAGAGAGAGAACACGACCCCTGAAAGAATGAGAGATGTATAAGAGGACAACAAGTATACATAACTTTGAATACAGTGGAAATTGTCCAAAACATGTATCAATTGTCGAAGAGAAAAGTGGTATTCTTGCACAGTATTATTATACTATAAAAAATCCCAAGAAGTGGTCACTTGTACAAGTGATTGTCTTGGACTAGTGGCTGTTAGAACAAGGTAAACAGGACATCTCCCTTCAGATAACAGAATCGTAGATCACATCAAGAAGAAACGGGAGATGTTTTTTTAGCCTCATGACAAACGAGCGTTTTACCTTGGAGTTGACATACTGGTGCAGCAAAAGCCTCAGCTCAGCGTTCTGTTGTCTCAGAGCTTCCGTCTCGTTGAGCAAGGAGGAACGGCTGTGCAGCACCTCACTGTGCAGGCAAGGAGAACACAGTTGAACACAGTTGAACACAGTTGAACACAGTTGAACACAATTGAACGGAACTGGTATTTACGCGTAGATAACACAGCTTTTATAAGGTAAACTTTATTGATTCATAAAGGAAATTTCCGCCTCAATTATTATCAATGTAAGCATTTGTAAATTTCTATGCTGGTATAAATTGATGTGACATTTATGGCTATCTCAAAATGGACACAATGACACTCTATAATCCAAATAAAACTTCGGTACGTCAAGCACATAATTTATGCGTATGAATTACATGCACAATCTTCCAGAGACAATAAAAACCTCATGGAAAACAGGAACAAGCATCTATCATGTATGAGTAAATATTCATTACAAAGAGAGCTTCTCTGGATCAGAGAATGTGATCTTTTCTTTTCTTTCATTTATATTCCTCTGGACAATTTGTGTCATGATGCAGTGGCATCAGGGGCTCGTCAGTTTTGAGGCAAATGGAGTTATTGGCATCCTCTTAAAGCCTGTCTATTTGGCTTAGTTTTGATGAAACAAACATCCATTTATCGTGGATACAAGTTAAGATATTGGCAATTGAAGGAGGTGGGGGTCGCCTGGTTTCAGTGGTAAAATTATCGGGGAAAATGGCTGTCAAAGTTGAGTTATTTCCTAAGCTTGAGAGTCTGTGGTAACTGAAAGTTACATCTTTTGTGCCTTTAATCAACTTTTTTTTAGTAAAATCCACACAGAAACGTGTTCTTTAACAAAAAATTTTAATTCGATAAAAATTCCCAAATCTGCATAAAAAAAAGCCAGTTTCTTGACCTTCATGATTTTGGCCAGCGCCTGATTTCACATTTATCAAAGCCCCTCTCTATGCCACTCACTTGTACTTCTCAAGCGCCTCTATGAGGGCGTCCCACATGCGCTCCTTCTTCTCGTTGAGCAGACTTGCGTACTTCTGCCAGTAGTCTGAGTCCAGAGAGTCGTCGCGGTTCTCCAGGGAGGTAATGTGGAACTGAGACTTCGGGGCCGAGTCTCTGTAAGTAACAAAGCTTTGTCAAACCACTAATAATAGTAATTAATGATGATGATGATGATGATGATGATGATTAAACAAATTTAAACATTTTATATTGTTATTTTATTTTTGTCTAAAATTAAAACAAGACTCTCCCTCCTACCCTGCTTACCAAAAAATGATGATGATGCCGTGCGTACTCCCGTGTCCCTCCCGAGATTGATGTCGATAACAAGAATGCTCATGTGGAGGGGGGTAATGAGGGGGAAAATGATAATGGAGGGGGAAAATAGTAATAAATAACAAACACAATAGTGGTGGTGGAGAGGGGGGGGGGGGGGGGGGGGCTGGGTTGAAGAAAGGTGGGTGGGTGGGAATTTGAGGGGAAGGGAGTTGGGGGGGTGGTATTAATTCCCAAATGGGAGGAGGGGGTGCGAGGGCGATATGAATTCTCGGATTTGTACAAAATTCGAAAAATTCTACCAGTCTCAACCCTTTTTTTATTCCTTGCTATTTATCATGATGGTGGTGGTGGTGATGATGATGATGATGATGATGATGATGATGATGATGATGATGATGATGATGATAATGATAATCTTTATTATTATTATTATTATTATCATTGTTATGAATAGCATTTACTATGTGAATTTCCATTTTCTACATAGCTTTGTCAAATCACTAATTATAGTAATTGATGATGATGATGATGATAATCTTTATTATTATTACTATCATTGTTATGAATAGCATTTACTCTGCGAATTTTCATTTTCTATTTTAAAAAAGCTCGATGCATGCTACAGTCAAAGAGATACCACATTTAAAACTGCAGGTGTACATGTAGAACATATTGATATATACATGTATTATATATTGTTTTAGTCAGATAATTTCCTTTAAATTTTACAGCACTTTATACGATAGTACTGCTAGAACAACAGAATTAATCTCTAGAATTGAAAAAAACCCAACTAAAACAAGTAACACTTATAACACAATGAACGCAATAAGAGTCAGTTGGAAATTAGAAAAAAGTTTTTTTAAATAACAACAGCAACAAACAAACATGAAATAAGCATTACTGTCAAACAGCTAATAATTCAAGCTGCCACTTTGCCACTCACTTCAGGCCTTTCCTCGTGTCCTCAACAAAAGCTCGTAAAGCTTTCAGAACCTCGTTAGGGTGGATAAGATCCACACAGTCGCTGCGGATGGAATCCGCATCATCCTCTTTGCCTGTCAGTTTTCTGATCTCATCTTCTATCTCATCCTCCTGAAATACATTATATTATGTTAAAACTCTTCAGCCTCTGCAAGCTGTTTCTCAGCGAATAATGAAGAAAACAAAATAAATTACCTACTATATGAATTTGAGGAAATTATCAAAATGTTCGAATAGTCTTTTCACATTTCAGTTAGCTCAAACACAAATCTATTTAATCCTTTGCATGAAAATCAGTTTACCGGGTCAAAAAGTTATACTTTATTGTAAAGGTTCCAAAAAATTATATAAAATGCATGAAACAAAGCATGCAAATGTTTACATAAAAGACAGTTCAATCTGAAATGGGCTTTTTTAAAAAGCGGGACTTAAATATTGACAATTCTGTAAACATAAAAACAATGAAAAACTGAATAAAGTCAAAACCATATATACTGAGAATCAATATATGAGAAAAACAGGGGCAATGCTCCCCTGGGATGTGCTATGACAGAAAAGTAGGTAAAGAATAAATTATATGAGAGGTATTGAGATGAGCAAACCTCTTCTTCCTCTGCATTCTCCTCATCGTCTTGCTGGTCAGGGAATTTCTCTTCCTCCTTCTGAAAACAGAATGTTTGACACAGTGACTGCCCATCTATGCTTACCGTAAAAACAAATTTTAAAACCTGTATATAATAGACTATAAATTATAATAAAAATATGTCAGTACCTTGCTGACTTTAATTAAATTTGATAATAGTAATAAACTATGAGTATGTTTATGTTTTTATCATATGGTCACTTTTAAGGACAAGCGGGCTAACCCAGATTTCGGAGGTTTCCAGAAATCTTGGCCTACACCAAAAGTGGGAGTTGCCTTACATATAGAAGGAAGTTTGGTTTTATTGGTGTGTATATTTGTTTGGTTATAGAGAAAACTCTTTTTGTCTTTTAAAGAAACTGAACAAGAGGTAAAAACTTTATCTTCGATTTTCTCAAAACAGCATTTTTCAGGATAACTCCTTTGTGCTTAAAAGCGACCATATATGGTCACTTTTCACAAGTCAAAAATCAAGGAAGGTGAAGGGTTTGTACTTGCATATGCCAACATACACGGACCCTCACGCTATAGCATAAACGGAAAAGACAACAAACAGTTTTCTTACAAGTGAAACCAACAGCGTTCAACCAAAAGAGCAAGAGTTGGGTTGGGGGGGGGGGGTTTTTGCTGCTGTAGTTGCTTTTTAATTATGATATTTTTCACTCTCAATCATATGTATATTTATCCCATCTCTTACCTTCTCTCTGATGTTCATAAAATAAGTGCTCAATTTGTGGATGTCTTCCTCGGTCTCCAGCCCCAAAGCCTAGAACAAAAACATGCGAGGAAATTCAGAAAATTGTTCTAAATCATTGACAAAACTTAGCAACAAAGTGAGAGTATTAGATTCTATCATAGATGCCCCCCCCCCCTCTCCTACAATGAAGCATTTCAGTTTCATTCTACATTCTTAAACATCAATAGTGTCACATTATCATAGGCATGACCATACTAGTGGTCACATAGAACATCAACATATTCATTCACTATGATAAGGGGTAGGGGAAATTTGCATATATGGATCCCATTACTCTCAACTGTTAAAACAAGAAACAAAAAAGGTTACACAAAATGCGTAATAAGCCCATACACATTTTTAAAAAAAAGCAAACACACTTATCTAAGAGAGTTGAAACATAAAGTTATTTTGTAAGCTTTAAGTTAAAGATATCATGTGCAGAGATAACAAAATAGTAAAATGCAAACAGTACCAATATCATGCTGACTCACAAATGGTTCAAGGCACAACAAAATCACACATATACGCATACATTAACATATACCATACAGGCATACATTAACATATACCATACAGGCATACATTAAAGTATACAATACAGGCATACATTCACATATACCATACAGGCATACATTAATGTATACAATACAGGCACACATTCACGTATACCATACAGGCATATGCTCACATATACCATACAGGCATACATACACATATACCACGCAGGCATACATTCACATATACCAACCATACAGGCATACATACAGATATACCATACAGGCATACATTCACATTCACCACACAGGCATATATTAACATATACAATACAGGCATACATTAACTTATACAATACAGGCATACGTTAACATATACCATACAGTCATACATTCACATATACCATACAGGCATACATCCACATATACCATACAGGCATACATCCACATATACCATACAGGCATACATCCACATAATATACCATACAGGCATACATTCACATATACCATACAGGCATACATTCACATATGTACATAGCAGACTATATGTTAGCATAGGCAGAACACTGGCTTACAGAAAAGATGTTGTCCAGCTTCATGAGTGACCGTTCGTCTTTCTCCAGTGGAGCCAACAGTTTGTTCAGCTTGTTCTCCACCAGGAATCCCTGACATAGACAAATGAAAATCCTTTTTCAGGAACATTCGAAAGCTGGCGAGAATGCACCAAAATTGAGGGTGGTTGACAGGTGCTCTGGTATATCAGGTCTACAACTTCCTTCCTATCAAATATCTATCATCCTTATCTCTCTGCCTTCTTTTCTTTTATGTTACTCTCTCATAATATTTCTAATCTTCAGCACTTATATGACCTATCTGTGTTGCAAGTGCAGTAAAACTATTGTTAGCACAAAAAAGTACCAAGAGTAGTTATTACATTACCCATGATGTGGGAAGATGAACAAATTAGGTTAAAGAAGTGAGAAAGTTCCTCAGAAAATATCTAAGCTGGCAAGGATGCTTCAAAAGTAGTTACAGTACTCTTTATGTTGAAGATAAAGAGGCAATAAAGAAAGGAAAATACTCTTTAAGAATATCAAATCTGGCAAGAATGCATCAAGAGTGGTTGCCCATAATGCGAGAAAAATAAGAGACAGGAAAAAAATGAGAATGAGAGGTCTAGAGGAAGGTAACAGAGATCCCGCCTAAATGAACAGAGTGAAAAAAAAAACCCACTCATCTCATCCTGCGTATGCTTGAGTCATGTGAAATAATTATAAATGCTTAACTCTAAAGGGATGTAATTTGCATGCACAGAGACACAATAATTATTTTTATTAAAAGCATACTTTTTTTCTACCAAAACTGTCTTCTGCTATGTTGAAACAGTGTAAAAACTTAAATGAGCGGAAAATCCACATAAACAAAAGCATTAAGAGCTGTGATTATTCATCTTCTCAAAATTCAGTGCTACATAATTATTTTCTCTATCCTTTTTTGAGAAACAGTCTGAAAAAGATGTCTGCTTAAAAGCACTTATATGCATGGTGCATTCAAACAAAAAACTCTTTCATAGCTGGAAAGGATCATTGGGATCAGAGTCATTGGTGTTGCAGTTAGATGTTTTGCCATCACAGGCAGAAAACATGAGTTCAATTCTTGTGTGAGAAAGTTTTTAAAATCGAATATCTCCATCTTTCTGCTAGGATGTTGTTTCTCTCTCAGCCTAAATTGACCCTGACAGGCTGTGTCGAAGCAGCCCTTCTCATTATGATCTAAATACTGTTGATAGGGGTATATAACACTTGCAATTACAATTTGTGACAATACTTACAGCTTCATCGCACAACAGCTCCAAGACTTGCTTGATGGTGTGTGCAGAAATCTTGTTGTAGATGGCAGCAGTAGTCGGAGCTGCGCCCTCGTCTTTTTCTCCAGAAGCATCTTCGGGGACACAATGACATGGCATTTTAGTTCAGGGCCAAAAGTTCAATGCAAGCCATGCCTATGCACTGTAACTGTAAATGTTTAACACCCCCTCCCTCCCCCACCCAAACAAAATTTAGATTATTTAGGGGATGGGATATGTTTCTGATTCAATAGTCCAATAAATATCTCTTACTTATAGGTCCAAGAAAAGTGGGAGCAAAATTGTGAGAACTACATTAAACTTCCCAAATTCATGAATGCCCCATTAAACCAGAGTTATCCACAAAAATAGTACTGCATGATACCAACTTAACGCAGATGGTGCAGAAAAAAAAAGTCGTCCTTGCAATAAAAATTCAAGTCAAACATAGAACTTTATATAATTATGCTTTCGCTAATTCATTTCTTACGCCAAAATATTTGTAAATTCTAGAAAAAACTAATGATAAGTGAACTTTAACATAATCCACACTTAGAATGGCAGAGTTGTAACTCCACTTTTTGTTAGAACTAAGTTGCACATAACACATTACTGACACAGATATCCTGCTCACCATGTCAAAGGCTCAAGACAATCTATAGCCTGTATTATTTCAGTTTGAGGCTTAAAAATTAAGAGGTAAAAACATTTTTAACTATAGCAGTGTGAGTCTTTGAACCACATTTTCTCAAAACTACATGTCATGGAGTTAGATTGATTGATTGAGTAGGTATTTTACGACACTATCGACTCAATTTTGATCACATAAGTGCCAATGTCATGGAGTAAGAACCCTGTCATTCGAAGGATGTGATAAGTCTCGACTGATATATCGATACACAGTGTCTCTGAGCAGCTTACTGGACATGACTTCTTGCAAGATCTGAGTGGCCGATGCTCCTTGTGGTCTCCCTGTGTTCACCAGCGGACCAACGCTCTCAAGAAACTCCCTGGAAACGACGATACGTTAAAACAAAATACAGTTACAAAGTCTAGGTGGGGAGCATGATGAGTCACTGTGACAACAGCAACATTTTACAACTTACGCTCTTACACTTCCACATACTTCCTAATTCAAGGAGTTTTGTTTTAGTAAGGGTTTTACGGCACTCGCAACACAATAAGGTCGTATAAGTGCCGAAGATTAGAGAGTAACAAACACAAAATAGAAGGAGGGGAGATAAGGACGATAGATGTTTGACAGGAAAGAAGGAGCAAACCACACCAGATAACCCACCAACCACCCACAAATCAAGGAGTGGGAGATGAAAGAATAATGAGCAGCTTGATGAACTGAACCCCTGTCATGGAGAGGAAATGAAAGTTTACCAAAGGATGAAAACGGAAACGGTTATATCTTAAAACAGTTTTCCATTCCAAATATGCTCATACGGTGAAGTCTGATTAAACAAAAAATCTGCTGGACCGACCGCCAGATTTTACACAAATTCAGCTTTGCTTTCGGTACAGAGAGATGCTCAAACAGAAGAATTGGAAAAATCGGGGATTTCATTTTCTTTTGGTTTGTTATGTTTTCAGATGTACAAAGTCGCGTTTGCGTGGACTCCATTGTGTAGTTGTGTAGATACTTTGCTGCACTCATGAACCACTTGCCAGTTTTTTTGTTGTGGTAAAAAAGTAGGACTACAACTTTTTCCATAAACATGTGGGAAGGTAAAGGGAATATCTTTCATTTTTACTTCAAATATGAACATTTTCTTTCTCATGGAAAAGTGTGAAAATGTTTTAAATTTATTCAAATATCTCCAATCAAATCTAAGCATGAAAATTCTCTTTCTTACGGAAAAGTGTGAAAATGTTTTAAATTTATTCCAATATCCAGAGCTGTTAAAGTACTTTTTAAAAAGTACTTAAGTACAAATTTAAGTACAATCTAAAAAATGTACTTAAGTACAGTAAAAGTACATTCCTATAAAATGTACTTGAGTACAAGTACTTTTTTAAAAAGTACTTATGAGTACATTTTGAGTACTTTCTGCTAATATGCTAAAACACTTCAGCGCTTATGCAAAACATCATATTTTATAACTTATCCAGTATATTTGACAAATTAGGCTATTTATTACTAAAAATGTAAACAGTATACAAAGCATTTGAATATACAATGTACGCACTGAACGGTGGAAATGGTCGGTGAAATTGAACAAAAAACAACCCAAACGAACAGACGCAACAAGTGGGTAAGTGATATTATGAATAGAAAATGTTTGAGCAAGACAATGAGATCAAATGTAAGTCAGTCCAAGAGGTCGGAAAGTTCTACAGAAAGAGTATCCAAATTGAAAAATGTAGATAGAAAGTTGCTCTTAAGAAAACATAAAATTGATGACAATGACCCGCATAGAAATGGAAAAGTGCATTGAATTCTTCATTAACAAATCCTCAAGGAATCAATGTAGCCTTAAGCAAAAACCACCCAAAAGAGTTTAAAAGAAATTTAGGCAGCCTAAAAATTGTTAGATACGCATTGAGAACACAGTTTCAGTTTCAATTGATTATAGTGGTCTGACAGATTTTGCTCACACTGTGTAGTCCACGGCGCCAACGGCAAACCAAAAGTCAATAGTTTCCTAGAGTCTAGTAAGTGTAGTGTAACCAAAGATTCTCTACTGCAGTAGTCTCCACCTAAGATCCCAGTGCTCGGAAGCAAGGAAAATATGGGATCTTAGCTAGGCTTTCTCAGACTGAGAAAGCCTAGGATCTTAGCCAACGAAGCCAAGGAAGAATCTACAGTGACCCATGAACTGACGTGACCCCTGGGTGGATTTATGACATATGGCAAGCAAAGAGTGGTCGACCTTGATGACCAATCACAGTGGCATGAGGCATGCCATAAATAATATTATATATACACACTCATTAGCCTATCGTGAGTCTTGAGATCTTTATCTATGTCTATCCAGTTGCCCCTCTCCTTTACCTGTCCAACAATTTTAGCTTTCCATCTCTGATTGAGTCCCCCCCCCCCCCCAA